AAGTAAACATCACTTGACTCTGATTCAAATGGCATAATCAAATCCGTTCCGTTAGATTACTCCTATAGGCTTACGGAAATGCTCAGGCAGCTTCTCTGTCCATGATATTATAACACCTTTAGTGCATGAACCCAAGCTTCATCGGTACGCGTTGAATCCAGTAACCGAGCATCAGATCAAATATCATTGTAACTATAAACTTAAAATCCCATGATATTCAAGGCATACTAATCGAAATGCAGAGCACTGGAGCTGTGGCTGACTAAAAACTGCCCTTGAAACTGCATTGTAACTCAGAAGAAGCGAATGGCTATTCATTCTCTCATCAAATGATGCCGGTTCATGACAAATCAGGCATAGTTCACTAACCAGATTCCACAGTGGCAATATATTCGACGAATTTTCCAGACTGCCTCATATGGTTCAAGATGAGCAAACGAGAAGCTAGTAAAAAACGAGGTACGAGCTATATTACGAATCTGTTAAAAACGATGAAAAATACACAGTTAAAAAGGGTAACTTTCTAAGAATATTTCTGACTTGCAACGGACGACACTTTTTATGCGAGCTTTGATTGGTGGCGCAATACCAGCCATAAATACTGAAATTATGAATGGTCCCAATCCCATACTAAACAAGCAACCTTCGGATAAGCCAGATCCAAGACGCGGAAATGTCACGTCTTTTACTTCTGATTTGTCAGTAGTAGCTTGGTGGTGTTCCTTATGGCTCTGTCAAGAAAGCGTTGTGTGTGTCATACATTTGCATTGACACAGGTGCTGCTGTTGTTGTCGAAGTTCAAACAACAAAGCAGCAAAGGTTTTTGATATTTGATCATCTTAAATTATGTCTCACGCATGAACAAGCTATTTATCTGCATAACAATAGCAGAATTAGCTGAAGAAATCGGTGTGATGAAAATTACAAAAAATAAGTCAAGGGCAAAATATTGTACAGCTTTTATACAGTAGTGGATCGACAAAGGTTGCTGCTGTCGATGATGATAAATAAGGCCTAATCTGATTTTAACTTACAAAACTTATCCTCTATATCACTGCATCAAGAAATATTTCTTTATTCTAAGATCCAGTATATTAGATCAACTTTAATTTGGTCCAAGTATCCAATCGGGTCATATCGAAAGCGTATTCTTCAATTCGGGTTAGATGCCTCGTCGTCCCTGCCAAAGAAGTTACCAGTGAAAGAAAATGTTTATCAGTAACAGCTTCTTAACACTTCGTATTGTCTGTTTTTAACTAACTTTTATATTTGTTTGTCCATCGTAATTAATCCGTTTTGTGTTTATAAGTGAGCAACAAAATTTCGTGGAGAGATAAGTAAACTGAATTGAACTATCAACATTTTCATCAAATGTCTAATCATTATGGCCAGAACGTAAGGTGGCTGAAAGGATGGGTTGCGAAATTTTTTATTGTCTTCCAGCGCGTCTGCGACAGCTGAGCAATTCTGATATGAAAAATATACAACAGCTCCTTGCTGATTCTCTTCTTGGGACTGTGAAGTACGCGATCAAATGGTCCTTCAAAATCGTTGGTTTCTTCGATGTATCGTAAAAGCTGTACGCGTTCCTCACCAAACAACAAAATTTTGCGTCAGATACAAAAAAATAATCCTGTTTAATACAAATTCGAAATCCGTTGAGGAGAAAAACGCTCATCTCAGACAACGAACAACATGGCGTTGTGAATCAACGATCTGCCGAACACAGAGGCTGTTGTGCAGCCGAGCCGAAACAGCGCTAACGAAGTTTGCCAAACAGTAATAATAATAATAGTAAAAACAATATTAATAATAAAATCAGTATTTACCAAGTCGGGCGTGTTCGGCGGATATAGCAGATCGCACTGCACCGGACAAGCGTCGGTCGCCATCGGAGCAT